TGTAATAAATATCCTTATGAGTTCCCGCTTACGGTATGCGTTTACTGTACTACCTGTCCCACAATGGGTTGAGCATAGATTTACTCAGATGTTTAGTAAATTTTTGTGGCACAATAAAACTGCCAAAATAACATCAGATACCTGTATTGGTGTTTGTTTAGATGGTGGTCTGAATATACCAAAGTTGTGTTTTAAAAAGTATGCACTGAGACTTAAGTTGCTGAGGGCTTTTGCTTATTCCCAGCTTAAATGTATTTGGAAACAAACAATGCTATATTTTATGTCACATCTTCTGAAAATGAACTTGGGAATTCATGTTTTAGCTCTTGAACATAATAGGGGTAATTTACAAGACTTAAGCCCATTTTATGCTGAGCTATTATCTGCATGGAATGAAATTACCGGTGGAAAAGGACCCTTGCTTCAAAATGTAGATGATATCATGAATCAACCACTCTTCAAAAATCCATTAATTACTTTCAATGGAAAAACTCTAATGTTTCAATCGTTTATTTCAAGTGGAATTATTTGTATTAAACATATTTGTTTTGAAGTTATTCCAAAATTCATGTCCTTACAAATTATTGTAGACATTGTACATGATACTTTACCTGAAATGGACATTAGCACTATACAACAATGCTATGCAATCATTTTATACGCGCTTCCATCAGAATGGAAAAATATCATTTTGTCTGATGTTGGCAAAAACCTTCCCTCGGGAGACATCTTCTGCACGATTGATGGACAGGACATGTCAGTTGAAGTTTTAACAGCTAAATTTTGCTACGAAATATTCAGACAAAAACACTTCAAAAAGCCAGTTGCTATTTCTTTTTGGAATAATATTGCTTTGGACATTAATTGGAAAGATATTTGGCTGAATGTGTGGCAGAAAGATAAATCAACAGACTCTATACAGTTGGATTTTAAAATTGCTCACAATATTATCTTTACATATGATAAACTGTGCAAAATTGGATTGTCAAACACTGATGTTTGTCCTGTGTGTCAAAATGAAACAGAGGACATTTTACATTTGTTTATCTTCTGCCAAGAGTTATCTTCCTTGCAATCTCTATTAATTGACATGTTGACAGATGTTTGTCAAGATTCAGGGTTTAGTCTTGGACAATTATACCTCTGGTTACTGTTTGGATTCCTGCCAGAAAAAAAAGTTGTCATGTAAACCCTTCATGAACATTGTATTGTCAATATATCGAATTGCTGTATTTAAAAGAAGAGTTATTATGAGTCAGGAAACAATCTCATTTCACATGAAAGCTTTTTTCAAATCTTTGATTAAGCGTCATTTCAGCTTTTTGTTGTTTCACTATTCAAAAATGAATCAATTACATATCTTTATTCAAAGATATATAATGACCAATACATTTATCACATTAGATGGAAATGAGATTGTTCTCAAACCTCCTCTAGAATAAAACATGTAACGTGTAACGTGTAAAGAGCATGTTCAATCTGCATTCCTCTTTTTGTATATGTAAAGACGTGTTTAGATAATCAAATGTAAAAAAACTATTTCTCATATTTTCTGTCTGTAGTATCGGAATGTTATCCACTGCCACCCTACTTCTGTGATAACCTTTTTATTTTTGTGGTGGCAGTGTCAGCAGTGTCTGCGTCTGTAATACGTTCAAGAGAATAAATTTTATCAAGAAAAAAAAAAAAAAAAGTCGATGGACTGCTAATCCATTCGAATCCCATCCTCGTCGACAAGTTCATTTTGCAAATACATTTCATTTACCATTTTTCACGAGACACAGACGATTTTGTACATTGATGGTCATCAAACGGTATTGATGATGGCAGCCCATTTTCTTCTATGCTAATTAGTCTCCTAGGATGAAAAGATACATCCTCCATGGCTGTACCTGTACATAGAATCTGTGAGTGAAAGTGAGCCAGGTGCGTGATTTACCAGGTTCTTTCCTTCAAACCTGTCAAGATTGGGGTATCCCCGCGTGGGTTCGAATCCCATCCTCGTCGACAAGTTCATTTTGCAAATACATTTCATTTACCATTTTTCACGAGACACAGACGATTTTGTACATTGATGGTCATCAAACGGTATTGATGATGGCAGCCCATTTTCTTCTATGCTAATTAGTCTCCTAGGATGAAAAGATACATCCTCCATGGCTGTACCTGTACATAGAATCTGTGAGTGAAAGTGAGCCAGGTGCGTGATTTACCAGGTTCTTTCCTTCAAACCTGTCAAGATTGGGGTATCCCCGCGTGGGTTCGAATCCCATCCTCGTCGACAAGTTCATTTTGCAAATACATTTCATTTACCATTTTTCACGAGACACAGACGATTTTGTACATTGATGGTCATCAAACGGTATTGATGATGGCAGCCCATTTTTCTTCTATGCTAATTAGCCTCCTAGGATGAAAAGATACATCCTCCATGGCTGTACCTGTACATAGAATCTGTGAGTGAAAGTGAGCCAGGTGCGTGATTTACCAGGTTCTTTCCTTCAAACCTGTCAAGATTGGGGTATCCCCGCGTGGGTTCGAATCCCATCCTCGTCGACAAGTTCATTTTGCAAATACATTTCATTTACCATTTTTCACGAGACACAGACGATTTTGTACATTGATGGTCATCAAACGGTATTGATGATGGCAGCCCATTTTTCTTCTTTGCTAATTAGTCTCCTAGGATGAAAAGATACATCCTCCATTGCTGTACCTGTACATAGAATCTGTGAGTGAAAGTGAGCCAGGTGCGTGATTAACCAGGTTCTTTCCTTCAAACCTGTCAAGTTGAAAACGTTTGACTGCCGTCTGGGCACGAGGGTATTGAACACTTACACCTTGGTCGATTGGCCGTACTCATAAAGACCAGACGTTGCGTTACGCAATATCAGCTGACGAGGTGGCCGAGTGGTTAAGGCGATGGACTGCTAATCCATTGGGGTCTCCCCGCGTGGGTTCGAATCCCATCCTCGTCGACAGTATCTTTTACAGAAAATGGCTTTTTCATCTTGTCAACTCAAGCAATTCTGTGTAAAACGTAAAAACGACAATGTGTCGCGATTTAGAATGATTTGTTGTTAGTGCCGGGCGGATTGTCTTGAAACTAGGCTGGCGATAAATTGAACTTTGCGAAATCGTGTCACTACCCCCCTGGCACGTGGATTTCTTGCAATTTCATCACAAATCCTCGTCGACATGTTCATTTTGCAAATACATTTCATTTACCATTTTTCACGAGACACAGACGATTTTGTACATTGATGGTCATCAAACGGTATTGATGATGACAGCCCATTTTTCTTCTATGCTAATTAGTCTCCTAGGATGAAAAGATACATCCTCCATTGATGTACCTGTACATAGAAGCTGTGAGTGAAAGTGATCCAGGTGCGTGATTAACGAGGTTCTTTCCTTCAAACCTGTCAAGTTGACAACGTGTGACTGCCGTCTGGGCACGAGGGTATTGACAAATTGACGGTAATATATACACGCTTACAAAGTAAAAGACTTGTGAAAACAACGTCCATCGCGCATTGAAGAATTTCCCATCAAGACGTAGAGGAACAAGAACGAATCGGTTCAATGCTACAGCAAATGAATGAAAACAAAATGCAAATACCATAATTATAACCTACCAAATTTATGTGTATAATTTTAGGCAGCTTCCTTGTTCGAGGAATGTATCAGTGAATATCCACAAAAAGGAACAATATCCCACTTGTCTGCAGCTGTACAAAACTTTTAAACTATAACCATCTGGGGTATTTCCAAATGACGACATCCAATGAGCGCCGCCGTTCTTTTTGTCTGTTTGTTTAGGCTGAAGAAATAAATTAACATGCGCCATTTGTCGAAATCTTTATCGATCACAGTTAACCAATCAGTGTTCAAAAATGCATATTTAGCTGTCCTTGCAGACGGTAGCCCAGTCTCTGGTCACGCTCAGTTGCGTTGCGTATCATCCGGGTACTTACGGGGGAAAAACAATAACAAAGGCAACAACCAGTCGCGGGGAATTGCTTTAGATCAGTACCTCTTTAACTGACGATTTGGCCGAGTGGTTAAGGCGATGGACCGCTAATCCATTGAGGTCTCCCCGCGTGGGTACGAATCCCATCCTCGTCGACAAGTTCATTTTGCAAATACATTTCATTTACCATTTTTTACGAGACACAGACGATTTTGTACATTGATGGTCATCAAACGGTATCTACTTTGCTAAATAGTTTCCTAGGATGAAAAGATACATCCTCCATGGCTGTACCTGTACATAGAATCTGTGAGTGAAAGTGAGCCAGGTGCGTGATTAACCAGGTTCTTTCCTTCAAAACCTGTCAAGTTGAAAACGTGTGACTGCCGTCTGGGCACGAGGGTATTGAACACTTACACCTTGGTCGATTGGCTGTACTCATAAAGACCAGACGTTGCATTTCGCAATATCAGCTGACGAGGTGGCCGAATGGTTAAGCGATGGACAATATTAGCCCACTGAGATACCATGCCTCAGTTGAACATTGATAAATCACTCAGACACATTGCAGTGAGTCCGCGCCGAGCAGTCGTTTTATCCCCCGATGCCCATAAAAAGGTCAACAACAACAAGTAGCATCATTAAAGGTCTCTTGGTACGACGCGGCAAGGGCATAGAACCACTGACCTTCCGCTCTCCGAACAGACACGCTATCCACTAGACCTATTGATGGTTGTTGATCAGTTTGTAGTGTCTTTCACATTCGAGCGATGAAGCCATTGGTGACTCAATCGTATAAGATGCCAGGTTGCGCCCCTTAGACTTGCCAGGATACATTGATCGTTGGTTCCAATCACAAATCATTATGATCCTGCAGCATCTAAATTATGGTGGGGAATTGGTCCAGGGTATTTGTCAAAAGTGAATCTAAAACACTGGGTTATGGAGTATGAGAAGATCACAGTTTACAAGCAATACAAGTGTAGTAAAATCTCTACACGTGAACCAGTTGCAATAAACAAATATGTACGTGTACCCCATATTTTATTGCTCATCTACTTACATTAAAATGACCTTGATGACAATAAATAAAAAAAACCGATTTGATAATTTCTTCAGCGTTACCAAGGCACATGCGACATGTATTAATAACCTAATTTATGAATAATAAGACATGCAAACAACACGCGAACGTTCGGAAGGAGCTTCCAGGGAAATTTGTCATACATCACTATAAAAATCGTTTTCTTATTTTTGCTTATTGCACATCTTTCCGACGAAAAAATACAACCACATGAAACATAAACATGTTATTGGACAGTATTTAGTTCCACGGACGGGGCGAATTGGGCAACCGGAAGTGGAATTGGCAGGCAATATGAGCGAATCAGTTTTTTTCCCTTATGTTGTTGTATTTTTAGACGGCTAAAATTATTGCTTTATATTCAATTCATTTTCATTTGCATCTCAAGTACCACTAGACCATTACGTTTAACTTGAAAATATAGGACACGAAACAGCATTCGTGGAGCTTGGATGAATTCCGGAACCAAGAGAGAAATAATTCTAACTAGAGTAAATAGTGTGGTTATTAAAAGCGTTCTATTCTAATTGTTTAAATTTTATATTGAATATATATATTATTACAGGTAATTACGGTCACTAGTCATTGATATTGAAGGCAAGTAACATAACTAGCACATATCATTATGTAAAATGTTGATTTTGTTTGGTTATAAGTTTGTCTAAAGCTACTATAGGCCATTACTAACTACAGTCAATGATATAACAGTATCACTCTATAAACTTCATAGTATTACACACTTGTGTGACGGTTTAAAACTATTCAGTTTCTGAAAATCATTTCTCTTTTTTATCTATTTGTTTTCCAGGCGAGACTTTCACTTTCTGGGACACGCCAAACCGGAAGTCACATTTCCCCATCACAGGCCACGTGACCTTGCCATGTTTTATTTCAACATTTGTGGGCAAAGATGTTGCAGCTCGTTCTCGTCGATCTGCAAGTATAGTTGCGACATCCCCATCAATCGTCATGGCAACAGATGTTATACCCTTGGTACCCTTGATAATTGCAGTTATCCGTCCTTTGATCATGACCTTGACCTCGAATGTCCAGTTCGAGGTTTGTTCCTCAATCTCAAGCTCTGCCAGAGTGACCGAGTTCGGTTCTGACGTCACCGTTGTGTCTGTGGACCACGTCATGGACTTTTCGATGGTATTCTCCTCGGCAGTTTCCACGGTGTAGTTGAGACCAAAACCAATCGTTGCCTTGGCGACGTCAGCAGGCAGAGACAACTCTAGACCGAAGCTGCCTTCCTTTGCGAACCCTTTAGTTACGGCTGTTGTTATAGTAGCACTTGTAGTCTTCTCGGCTCTGTAAACATTGAGAAAGTGAGTGATTGGGTGGATGGGCCTTGAGTATAGCGGCGCTTTTGGCAGTACTTCGGTTAGTCAGCTAAATGTTGGACGACCTGAGCTGATGCAGATCTTAAACCTTTACCATTTTAGAGAAACCCAGGATCAGGCTGTAGGTTAACAGTCACATTACCATCTCTTCCTACCGGACAGACACTTTTAGTGCTGGGTGAACAGAGGCATATTTCGAACAAAATCATTTGCCTAAGGAGACACCATGTGCTACATCTGCTTCAGTTTGGGAAAGGACCGAACCAAAAAAAGCTCAGTCACGCTAGCGAACGCGGTCACCCATCCACCTAAATTGCGTTGCTTTACTTAACCTGACTTGTGACCTGTGGGATGTGCATTGGCCCATGTACGGCCACATTAAGGTCAATGCTGAATACACAGACTAGCCATTACACCTGACCATCTTGTGAACACTCTCACCTGAAGGCATGCGTCTGTGACACTCCTGTGTCGTTCTGGTACCTTGATGTGAAGACTGCCTGGGTCTCGGTGTTGGGAACGCCCTGGCTGGCCCCGGGGGTGGGGGTGTCAATCTGGGTATACACCGGCTTCTCCGACTTGAACTTGACATGATCCCAGACAAGCTGTATCTGAGCTTCTCGAAATTTGAGTTTCTTCCCTGTTGCACTTCTCAAGTAGTTTTCCCAAGCCCAGGACTTGAACAGCGTCTCCAGATCCGTCACCGCTCCGCTGTCCCTTCCTTGGACCTAAAAGAAGATGTGTGATTACTGTTTTACGCCGCTTTTAGCAATATATCAGCACTATCGCGGTCGGGAACGCCAGGCATTGCTTTGTGTACGCATGTGAAGAATCAAACAGCGACTTTCGGTGTGACGAGCGAACGCTTAAACCACTAGGCTGCTGCACTGCCCCGGGTGAAGATTAAATGGCATGAAGTTGGTCTTCTATTCCATTTTAAGGCCTACCAATGAAAAAAACCGAAAATGTTATGTTAGTTGGTTTACGAATGGTATTTCTTAAAACCGTTGGAAGGCGGTCGAAATAAAACTACAAAACAAATAAGTTATGACCCTTGAATGAATTTCGTGTTTTGAAGTGAATGAAAAAATACCTCTCTATAACAAAAATTACATCCCCCACCCCACACACTTCCAATATATATTGGTCGACATTAAGAACGAAATGAAATGAGTCCACTAGACATATACTGAACCATATTTATAGCTACTGTTTAACTGAATTATGATATTGTCGAAACTATATTACACTTCACGTCGTGACAACCTGCCGGTATGCATTCTTTACAAGCTGGATACACCTTATTGAAAACGGAAGCGGGGAGGGTTCACTTAAAATATAAAAGCCTGCACATAATTCGGGAAACAATTTGCCTTTGTCAGGAAGAAATGAGTCAATTACTTGTTTTTGTTGAAAGCATGTCAGGAAATGATCTGGTTATATTCTTTATACGTCACATGTTTGTTTGTTTGTTGTTTACCACCGCACTATTCCTGCTGTATGACGGCGGTTTGAAAATAATCGAGTCTGGACCACACAATCCAGTGATTGACATTATGAGCATCGATATACGGCAATTGGGATACGATCACATGCACCAACCAAGTTAACGAGCCTGACCACCCGATCCCGTTAGTCGCCTCTTACGACAAGCATTGGTTGCTGAAGACAAAATGATCAGTACGCTTCAAAAAGGGCGTAGGTGGTGCGCAACCCTGAACCCCCTCCGTAGATCCGTCTCTTTGGTATACACGACTATCGTCAAACATCAAACAGACCACGGTAAACTCACCCCTGACGACATAGGGATATTCAGGTAATTTTGTTCCACACCGGCTGTACTACAGCATGTTCCCATCCTGAAAGTAAACACAACTGCATAAAAATCTCGGGACACATTTTTCTCAAAAGTAAGGATGGGGGTAGTACTGTGCTTTCGAAATGATGAGAGACGACCACCTTCTATTTATTCCCCCCCCCCAAAAAAAAATAAATAAATTATTTTTAAAAATAAATAAATAAAATAAAAATAATAATAATAAATAAATTAAAAAAACTAAAAAAATAAATTAATAATAATAATAATAATAATAACTAAAATTTAAAAATATAAAATAATTTTAAAAAATAAAAAATAAAATATAATAAATAAAACACAACTGGGAACACATAGAACTCGTCTCTTATATTATGTCAGTTGTCAAACATGTCATTTTATGGAGTATGCTTAATATGACGCGAAACAAAATGATAAAAATAAAAAAAGATTTTTATTGGCAATGACAATCACTGATCATCATGACGCGCCCATTTTGTCCTACAATTTTTCTTTTTAAGTATCTGGGCATAATCTTAAACTCACTCAATTAAAACACTTTACATGACAACAATAACGTGAAAATAACACATTATTCACAACTGTAATCACACTGTAAGTATGCTGATAAGTAGGGTTTACTTTTGATATTATATTCCGATACTTTCGCTATTGGACGAAGGGAAAGGAGGGATATTATATTCCGATACTTTCACAACTGGGCGAAGCGAATGTAGAGAATAGGGACAGCAGGGATATCAATGCCGTAAACATGTAACCCACAAACCGCCTCCGTGGTCTAGTGGTAGAGCGTCAGCCCGGAGAGCGGAAGGTCCGGAGTTCGATCCCCGGCCGCGTCATACCAAAAGACGTTAAAAGATGGTACTTGTTGTTACCCTGTCTGGCGCTCGGCATTAAGGGGCTAAAACAAGGACTGGTCGGCTCGGAGTCAGTATGCTGTGTTGAGTGGGATATTCATGTTAAACTGCGGCGTGGTATCTCAGTGAGCTAGCACTATAAATCGGCATCAGTCCGGACTAGTACAAGCAGCCACACAAACACACACACGTACATGCACGGTAATAATCTTGGACGCGACGTTAAACCCCATTTCACCTCACCTGTAACCCACAAGCTACATGTATAATAATGGTCAAGTCGTCAGCTGTTGTGGGGCGCTATTTAGGGAGTATCATGGGGGTGGGGGTTGCCTTTGTCAACATGGCGTGCTGCTTGTAAAGGTTTTCCACCGCAAGGCGTTATTGATAAAGCAAACTGTGTATCTACAAGGTTATACAGAGGTTGACGAATATAATCGGTAATTATATAAAATAAATTATACATCCCCGTGTTATGTGTTTTCGGACGCTAACGAAATATTCGTAGTTTTCTCGCTAATCACAAGAACAACTGTAAAACATCTCACTCACTTATAAAAGACAACTTTATCTAAAAAGCAAGCCAAAATCTGAGTATTTACAACGTATGTGTGACGCCACAACCCTCGTTATAGCGAGAGTACTCGCGATAAACATGGCCGTCACAAAACCTATGACACAATACATTTGTTTTATATTCAATGAAATTACTTAAACGTTTTTGTGTCTCTCACGGACTCTCTACGCCCCCAAAACATCCCAAACCCCATTAATAAAAAAACAAACAGTGTAAATAGCGTTATGTGCTTCTGAAATTCCACAACTTGGCTAAACAGAACGGAATCATAATTACTTTTGTGTTGAGTACATACGAATATCAGTTATGATATGATGACGTAGATTATTTTACCTTGAAAGCCTACCTTTCTGGTGAAACCGCCTTCGTTGAACTTATCTTATGCTGTAATAATTTGTATCGCTGTCAGTATCAGGAATAGCTGGAGACGTGTGTCTATGTAGAGTAAACATAACATGGGGAAGACCCGGGGACTAAAATTAGATATGTGACATGCGCAGTCGGGTTTTCGATAGGTCGCTGCACTCAACTGCCTTTCGGTGAGTTCAGGCACAGCGTACAGGTCACTCTATATATTTCAATGGGTAATTGCACTACATGTGTACAGCATTGGCTACCCCCCTTCCATGTCAAAATATATGTATACATACATACAGATAAGATAAGCATATAGTTTATTGTTTGTGTGGTTGTTGTTTAACGACGCACTCAGCAATATTCCAGCTATATGACGGCGGTCTGTAAATAATCGAGTCTGGACCAAACAATCCAGTGATTGACATCATGAACATCGATCAACGCAATTGGGATATGAGTGAGTGAGGTTTTACGCCGCTTTTATTAATATTCCAGCAATATAACCACTAGGCTACCCCCGCCCCGCAATTTGGATATGATGACATGCATCAACCAAGTCAGTGAGTCTGACCACCCGATCCCGCCTCTTACGACAAGTATAGTAGCCTTTTACGGCAAGCATGGGTTGCTGAAGACCTATTCTACCCCGGATCTTTATGGGTCTCAGCAGATTGGATAGGATATGAATATTGTTTATTACTGTGTTACACAACACGCTGTAATATTGTTACATGTAAATATTAACATTTTCAACTGTGAGTGAGTGAGTGAGTGAGTATGTTTTTACGCCGCTTTTAGCAATATTCCAGCAATATCATGGCGGGGGACACCAGAAATGGGCTTCACACATTGTACCCATGTCGGGAATCGAACCCGGGTCTTCGGCGTGACGAGCGAACGCTTTAACCACTAGGCTACCCGACCGCCCTTCAACTGTGATTTGTCTGACCAAAATGGCCTATATTTACTTCATATATTAGGGGGCACGGGCGACCCAGTCGTCTAAGGCGCCGCGATTCGCTGTGCAGAGTTGCGTCCCTTGAGCCAGCCAGAAACCTATGATTGTGGGTTCGAATCCCGGTTCGCTTCTCTTATGTTTCTATGTTTGTCAGCACCATACCCGTGCTCGTGAGTTTCACCGAAGTGGTAAACGTCTGAGACCTGCATTACTTCGGTCTTTCCTCCAACATTAAGCTGACACGCCCAACTCACTCACTCACTCTCTCTAAAGGAGTAGAGTGAGTGAGTGAGTTGGGTTTAAAGCCGCTTTTAACAGTATTCCAGTTTTATCGCGGCGTGTCAGCTTATATAAATGAGTAGAAAGCACAAAGAAGCGTTACACAATCAATGAAGAAATAGTATTGATGTAAACTTAATAATATTATGTGAAAAATATTTTACCTGGTACGATTCTCTGTAAATAGTAAATGATCACTGATGCAATACAGATTATGCTTATCGTCGCTTTGTGAAGAATTGATCATGTTCTATTAAGAGAACGTCGCGATACAGAGCCCGTTGTTTGATATCACCTTCGGAAAACCAAGAGTTATAAATAGACATGATCGAGACCTCGTGTCACGTGCAGCTATTCTTTGAATAGAAACGCGCTTCTTACTGAAGCGCTCCATGTTTAAAAGAGAGAGGAATGGAGGTGCTTTTTCGAATTGCTGACTTCAATGAAGGTGGGGATAAGTGGGGTCGGGTCGGGTCGGGAAAAAACACTATTTTGACTTACTGCATTTGCAAGTGATTAACTATTGATTTTTCCTCCAGACTATTCTGCCATTGGCTACATGAACCAATGCTGCATTTAGCCGGGGAAACTGAAATTACGTATGAGCTAAAAAAAGATACCACGGGAATTTCAAAAGGTGATTCCCCTCTTCCCATCTAAATCAACAGTATAAAAGACGGAGAGCAGCAAATCCCGGCTCACTTTGAGGTTGAGAGAGGAGCGGTACGACGGTCTGGATACATCACCATCATGAATCCCAAAATCGTTGATCTATTAGAAGTTTTCAGAATATGGGCTTGGACTAATTACTTGAACACCAGTACAGGCTTTTTCGCAAGGCTGTTTAGACCCAAACTGAAACTTAAATACGCAGACATTGAGATAAAGTGGGAAAACGTGAAGACGACGGTCTTGGAAACTGAATATAAGATGCAGCCGGATAAACAGTCTGGCACCAAAGTGGTCATTGAATCGGAGTACGACAATGCGACCGAAAATGACCAGACACACAGTTTCAAAACGGAACAGGACACAATATCCACCGCTAGCATCAAGCTGACCAAAGGCTACAGCAAGCACGCGAATACTGGGATTGAAATGGACCTCCCGGAAGAAATGTCACGAATGAATGCTGGAGAGGAATCCCCGAATGCGAGGAAGAAACAGATGGCGACTGCTAGTTTCGGAAACAGCATTCACGTGGGAACTGACGAAAACAGCGTTGTCAGCAGGAAGAAGGCTTGGTCTGTGGACACAACGATATCCTCCAAGAGTGGGAAACTGACGATAGCCCAGCTGGAGGTGGAGGAGACAAGCGCAACTTATGAATTCGCCAGTGCCATCAAATTGAAGGGAAGGGTGGTTGCTGTCATTCGGGACAGGAGGAACATGGAGAAAGTTGTGCAGGTGGTTGAAAACGATGTGGCAACAGTTCTTAATGACGTTAATGACAGAAATGGAGGTAGGATGGGGGATTTTAGGTTTGACATGGACAACCGCACTGTTCAAGTGCCACTAGAGGGCACCGTCACATTCAGATATGGCGTGTCCCAGAGGGTGAAGGTTTCATATGGACAAAGGACTGATGAAGCAAGAAACCAAATCACCCCAAGACCCAATATGTACCCATCGCTTCACTTGGAGGATGTGTGATTGCTTTTATTGGCCTAGATGTAATATCTACATCAATAATGACATAAATATCAGACATTGTTACAAGCATGTCCCTAGCATTCGTGATATTTACCTAACAGTTTATATAAATTCTGAGTGGAAACCATTTCACTGTTATTCTGTTAGTATTCCTGATTCTATTCGGAGAGTCCTTATATGGATGGGTGAACGTGTTTCGGCAGTTTGGCTCCTGAGAGTTTCTAGGGCTTCGGTCCGTCCCCACACTGAAGCACATGTACCACATGTGGTGTCTTCTTGGACAAGTGACTTTGTTCGAAATGTGCCTCTGTTCACCCAACAGTGAATGGGTACCCGGTAGGATGAGATGGCAAATGTAGTTTGTTAACCTAGCGCCTTACAGGTAACGTGGGTTGTATACTCCCCAAGGAGCTGAGTATGATTGCAGCGTACACACTGACAAAGTGACCGGGGTAAAAAAAAACCCCTTGAGCATGCCCCTGTGCGGTGGGGAAATATGCGCAATATAAAATGACCTGTTATGGTATGTTTTGTATTCGGGAGAAGATGCTCCTTTGATGCAGAGTACAATTGTCATATTCATTTTGTGAACATGTCAGCACCATTAAAACAATTTATTGTTTTATATCTGACCCCGTTCATACATGTCACTTTTAATATTATGACTGTCGTTTGAGCGTTTATATCTTCTTCGCCTTATGCATGCATTGTTTTTGTAAATACACGAATAGTGTCGTTATATGTTTTTGTATTGGAGAGAAGATAATCCTGTGTCATATTTACTATGTGAACTATGTGGAAGTATCATTAATGCAATTGTGGTGGTGTCCATTTAAAAAAGAAAATAAATTGTTTTCATCCGACCCTATTGATATATATACATCGCTTTTAACAATATTGCTTGTGATAGTTTATGTCTGCTTCACCTTATGCATTTACCGTTATTGTAAATGCACGAACAGTGTCGTTATCATTTGAAATAAATTTAAACATTTTCTATTTCATATCTTCATGTCTTTTGTGTAGATTAAAGCATATATATATATATATATATATATATATATATATATATATATATTTGACCGGCTCCGTGGTGAAGTGGATAGAACGTCTGCCCGGGGAGTGAAAAGTCTGTGGTTCGTTCCCGTCCCTTACAAAAAAGACGTTCAAAGATGGTACTTGTTGTTACCCTGCCTGGCGCTCGGCACAAAGGGGCTAAAAGAAGCACTGGTCGGCTCGGAGACAGTATACTGTGCCTGAATGTTATACTGCGGCATGGTATCTCAGTTGGTTGGCACTGTAAAGTCGGCAATAGTCCGGACTAGTACAAACAGCCACACACACGTGTAGCACCTTCCTATAAAAATGCTAAAATACTGAACGCGAAACCCCATTTCACCTCGACTCACCTTAAAACTTTTTTGATAGTATTGTTGAGAGGAACGAGTGGCCCTTAGGCGTAGCAGAAACAACTTTGATTCTAAACGATTTTCTAGTATGGCAACATGACCTTAAGGTCATCTAGAGTAATACAGGAAAACATCCTTGAAAGTTCATGTGAAATCTCCACAGCCTGCTTACCTAACTCGAGATCCTCCTCAGTCCAGAAAGCACCATCTTCCCGAGGCAAGAGAGTTAACTGACTATAAAAGTCCAGTTTGCACCCTTGCCGAAATAAGCTGATATTATGGAGTTACATTTTGGCTGGACTAACGAGTCTATGCATAATCAAATCAAAACCGCGCAACAAAATTGAAATCCGATTCGTAATCTGTCTTGCAGATTTCGGTCGCTTGCAGGATTTGGAAAGAATGTGCACCGTGATTTGATCCACTTCGCGATGTAAGACCGTTTTATCGCAATATAGATGTTGATTATCGATCAGATCGTCTTGACTGGGTGGCGCCATAAATGCTAGTGATACGAGAAGTGGAATCTGGTCCATAGGAGAGGCTTAGAAGGGACATAACTCGTAATAACCGCTGGTGGCGCTACGATCGAGCCCAGGAATTCCAGCCTAGTTCGGCAAGGGTGGAAACTGGACTTTTAAAGTCAGTTAACTCTCTTGCCTCGGGAAGATGTATAGCACTTACTCACATGACATCATCAGAAGAGAGTGAGTGAATTGAGTTCAACTCCTTTTTAAAGAATATTTCATTTAGACCATGGCATGTCATGAGGCCGTAAAGCCGTTTGTCACTTTCGTGAAACC